ATCCTTCCAGTGCGGGAGAGTGCAGAATGTGGTCACCATCACTCAGTTGTGCGGGGGCGGGGGCGTTGTTCGATGCCATTGAGTGGGTTCCAACTCAGCGGTCTGTGTGCAATGGAACTAAGCACTGCCCGGTCCTGCAACGCCCTTCCAGTTGCTCTTACATTTGAGCCGTGGTCACAGCCACTGGCTCGATCCGTTTGTCCAGGGCCTTCCCCATGTCGCTGTCCCTCCACTTCACCAAGTACGATGCCCTTCTCCAGGACTGGTCTCCTGACAGCGTGCCCGGAGCAGCTGAGACCCAGGCTCACCTCTTTGCCTCTGCGGCACGTTCTGGCTGTATCTGGGTGTTCTCTGGCAGTCCCTGGTCATGGGGCGTTCCTCGCCAGCACCACGTTGCAAGTGCACTGTGCCTTCTGCGGTCCCTCCTTCACAGGCAAATGAGGTGATCGAGCTTGTACTCGTGAAATTGTTAAAGCAGTGTCTGGTTTGCTCTATAGACAGATATATATTGGCAACAAGAAGAAGAATAAATCGGGAAAAATGTTTAAGTAAAAAAATATTTATTAAAAATATATATATATTTATTTATGATTTTTTTTTTTTAATTTCCAGCACACAACTTTCCTGGTCTTTTTCTCACATATGGATTTTCCTTTTTCTTGAAACTTGTTCATAATGTCTTCATGATCACTTCAATCTTTTCTCCATTTATTGACAACTGCCTTGTGCATTTACAAGATCTTGTTTATTGATAAGTTGTTTATTGACAACTGCCTTGTATATTTACAAGCTCTCCATGAGCAAAATTAATTGTTCTGGAATTCCCATTCTTCACAATGTTCCCCATAATTGGTTATGATCCGCACCGTCGGATACCTTTACATAGTCATAAAACTCAAATGAATAACCTCCTGGAATTCTCTGCTTTCAGCCAGGCTCCATCTGCATCAGCAGTGATAGCCTCCATGCCATGCCCTCTTCTAAATCCCATTTGAATTTCTTGTAACTCCCTGACAACATACTGCTGTAATTAGCTCTGAATTATCCTCAAAATTTTACTTGCATTTGATATCCAGGATATTGTTTTAAATCTGGTGGGCCACCTTCCTTTGGAATGGGTCCAAATGTGGATCTCTTCAAGTTGGTTGGCCAAGGAACTGTCTTCAAAAAGTCCTGGCATAGACAAGCGAGTGCTTCCAGTGCTTCATCAGCTGGTTGAAACATTTCAATTAGTATTCCATCAATTCTTGGCATCTTGTTTTTCACTAATGGCTTCAGTGTAGCTTGGGCTTCTTCCTTCATGCTACCTGCTCTTGACCATGCACCATCTCTTGAAAAGGTTTAAAGTCAACTAGCTCTTTTTTGGTACAGTGACTGTGTATCCTTTCATCTTGTTTTGATGATTCCTCAGGCAGTCAATATTTTGCCAGGAGAACTTTTCAATATTTCAACTCAAAGTTTGAGTTTTTCTCCACTTCCTTCTTCTTCTTTTTTTAATCATTTTATTGGGGGTTCTTACAACTCTTATTACAAATCATACATCAATTGTATCCAACATATTTGTACATATATTCCATCATTCTTTTCTAGACATGTATTTTCCATTGAACCCTTGGGATCAGCTCCTTTTTTTCCCCTCCCTGTCCCAACCCTCATGGCCCCCTGATAGATTGTAGATTGTTAATTATTTTCATGTCTCACACCGACCACTGTCTCCCTTCCCCTCCGGTTTCTGTTGTTCTTCCCCCTGGCTGGGGGTGTGTGGTTATGTGCCATTCATTGTGATCAGTGCCCCACTCCCTCCCCACCTCTCCCCGCCTTCCCCATACCCTTTTGGTATCTCTATTCCCAGTCCTGTTCCTGGTTTCCATGTGCTGTGAGTTTTATCTCTTGCTTATACCTATGTACATGCTCCCGTCTAGTCCAGAGTGGGAAGAGGCACTGAGGTCATGATAGTGGGGGGTGAGGAGGCCTCCAGGGAACACAGGTATATTGCATGCCCCATTCGTGCTCTACTGCACCCTGATTGACTCACCCCCTCACTGCGACCCCTCTGTGGGGGGATGCTCCATTGTCCATAGATGGGCTTTGGGTCTCCGCTCCAATACCCCTCCATTCTCACCAATGCATTTTTGTTTGTTTGTTTACTGTTTGTTGTGAATCTTCTGATGCCCGTTGCCCAGTGTCGACACTTCACGACCACAATGGCTGATGTGCTTCTTGCATGTGGGCTTGTTGCTTCACTGTTGGATGGCTGCTTGTTTAACTTCAAGCCTGTAAGACCCCAGACGCTATATCTTTTAATAGCCGGGCACCATCCTCTGTCTTCACCACATCTGCTTATGCACCCATTTGTCTTCAGCGATCGTGTGTGTGTGTGTGTGTGTGTGTGTGTGTGTGTGTGTGTGTGTGTGTTGGGGCTGGGGGGCGGTGAGCATCACAGAATGCCAGTTTGTTAGAACAAAGTGTTCTTGTATGGAGGGAAGGTATGAGCTGAGGCCCAAGGGCTGTCTGCAGCTTCAGTGTATTCCCTTATAAATATATGTACATAGGCCAATACCACTATTGTTCTGGATTAATGTATTTGCATAAGTGCACACCTCTGTTAATCTCCCTATCTATGCCTTTGCTTCCTAGAGCTTGCCTCTGTTTCCTTTTGCCTCCTCCTGCCCCACCATCACTTTCCCCTTCTTCCACCTCTTAGTGCTTCCTCTCTAGCTTGGTGTTGCTCTAATACTCTACAGGATCTCTACCTCTCCTAGATGCTGATTCTGCTTCCCTAGTTGTTCCCCTGTCCATGACGCCCTCCACTCACCACACCCTTCTCCCCATCTCCTTCTTCCTCCTCCACCTTGCGGGGGCATTGGCCCCATTGCCTTCTCCCCAGGCTTCCCTCCCATGGTCCAACCCATATAATTAGGCAAACCATTCATGTCCTAGTCTGAACAATAAGAAAACATGGATGAAGAAAGAAAAGGGAAGAGAAAAAATAAAAGAAAAAAACCCTACGTAGGTCCAGATCTGTTTGCTGGTCCCCAAGTGTGAAACCCTCCCCCCTGGTCCTGAGGGAGATCGGGGACTGCCCCTCCTAGCCCAAAGTCCATTCTTGGGACTCCTCAGGGGCTCTATGGATCCGCTTTATTTCAATTGCTGGTCTGTTATGCTCCAGTTAGGGGACAACATGTCTTGAGCTGTTGGGAGTCCCACAATCCTCTCTGTGCCCCAGCAGCTCCATGCAGGGACCTCATCCTCTGGGTTTGGTGAGCCCATATGGAGTCTAGGCCGACTGCCCCTTTCTCTTTTTCCTTCTTGGTTTGCTTCCATCTGGGTATGGTAGGTCGGTTCATTTCCCCCATCAGAAGGTGTAGTGTCATTCCCTGTGGCACACACTTCCAGTGTAGGGGTCATAATAGCAACAACAAGAAGAATAAAATAAATCAGAAAAAAATTTTTTAAGTAAAAAAATATTTTCAGCAGAAACTGTATGTTAGAAACTTAAATAGTAAATAGCCTCAAGGAACAAGATTTAAAAGTAAGCGATAATATCTAGGACTTTTTTTTTTTTTTTTTTGCAGGCTCAAATCACTTTTATTACCTTTTTGTATAAATTGACTATGTGGTAGCCACAGCTGGAACCTGGGTCCTCTGCACGGAGACTCTGGTGTGGGTCTTCACAAGATGGTCAGTGAATTCCTGGTAGGGAGACTTGGTGAACACTGTCTCTTTCCAGAGGTCAGGGGTCAGATAGCTGTAGGTCTTGGAGATGGCATCAAAAGTGGCTTTGGCGAAGTTCCCCAGGGTGGCTGTGCAGCCCCTAGCCGACGTGTAGCAGTCATCAATCCCTGCCATCATCTGCAGTTTCTTGGGCACAGGGGCTCAGACGATGCCAGTGCCCCTGGGGGCAGGGATAAGTTGCACCAACACAGACCCACAGCAGCTGGTCACCTTGCAGAGGACTGTGTGGGGCTTGCCGATCTTGTTGCCCCAGTAGCCTCTCCGCACGGGGACAATGGACAGCTTGGCCAGGATGATGGCCCCTCGGATGGCGGTGGCAACTTCCTTGGAGCACTTGACACCCAGGCCAACATGGCCATTGTAGTCCCCGATGGCAACAAAGGCCTTGAACCTGGTCCGCTGGCCGGCTCGGGTCTGCTTCTGCACAGGCATGATCTTTAGGACCTCGTCCTTGAGAGCCATCCCCAGGAAGAAGTCAATGATCTCAGACTCCTTGATGGGCAGGGAGAACAGTTAGATCTCCTCCAGGGACTTGATCTTCATGTCCTTGACCAGACGACCCAGCTTGGTGACAGGGAGCCACTCCTTGTCTTCGGCTTTGCCCCCGCGAGCTCCGCGGCCTCGTACACGGCCCCGACCATGGCCGCAATCATGTCCCCGCAAGCCGCTGCCAAAGCCTCCGCGGAAGCCGCGGCTCCCGGGCCCCGGGGCCTCCAGGCCCTCGCGCTGCACCGGCGTCATCCGCCATTTGGTGTTTTCTCGAAGAAGCTAGGACTTTATTTTTTAATCTAGGACTTTTAAAACATGATTCCTTGCCTTATTCCACCACCTGTACCCTAGGCCTGCGCTGGCCACCGGGTTTACTCTCCCTTTTGGAGAGCTGTATTGAGAGTTAGCCCCAGGAAAGGCCCCGTGTAGCTTGACAAGACATTTCACTGGTCAGGGGAGCAAAAATCTCCAGTTGACGTGTATGTCTTTAGAGTTAAAAAAAAAAAGTTCTATGAAAGCAAGTCTTCAAAAAAAGGAACCAGCAAGAAAGCAAGCCTTCCTGCCTCTGCTTGTGCCCAGCCTGGTGGTCAGCCCCTTAAAGCCTGCAGAAATGCTCACCAGTTGAGATTGCCTCTTGCGTGCTTTGTGGCCCCTAAGTAGCGGGAACACTCCACTGTGTCTCTTACCAAATGAGCCCATCGTTAGCTGCATCGGCTGAGCGAGTTCTGCAGCCCTCGGGTGTATTGCTGCTGAGATTTTTCCTTTCCTCCCTTGAGGTGTGTCTGCCTGGATGACAAGGAGAGGTGGAGTCCTCAACAGCTGCTGCGACACAGCTTCATAAATCCCCAGCCAAAACTGCCTTTGCTGGATCAAAGTCCTGAAGGTGAGTCTGTTGCTGTTCTCTTTGGACAGTAAATTATGTTGAAATTATACAGAGGCCTAAAATGGAAAGGGTCTGCTTGGATTATTTGTTTCAACTGTTTAAACGGCGCAGTAGCTCCTGTGCACAGCGGCTCACCAGAAAGGATCCACCATTTGAACCCACTAGCGGCTCCACGGGAGAGAGATGTGGCCTTGTTCTTCCGTAAAGATTTACGGGCCTGGAAGCGCTGGGGGGCAGTTGTCTTCTGTCCTGTAGGTAGCTGTGAGTCTGACCACAATGAATGTGCAGAGCTGTCCATAAGTCCTCTGATTTGATGGGTACAGTGTGGTCGGAATGTCACAGCCCTGGTGGTGCTGGGGGCTAGCCATCAGGCTTCTGGATGCAAGGTCGGCTGTTCAACGTATCAGCCCTCAAGAGAGAGATGAGGCCGGGTGCTCCCATCAAGATGTATAGCCACAGAAACCCGAAGGAACCGTTCAACTCCCTTCTACAGGGTTGCTCAGACTGGGAGTTGAGTCGTTGGCAGTGGGTTGGGTTTGGATTTTGGGGGGTGGGTATGTTTGGAACTGTTTGGACATCCTGCTTTTTGCCAGCCTCTGTGGATGGAATGTCCATTGCTATAGCCTCGTGTTTAGTATCTCATACTCATGCCACCCTGACTGCATGTAACCAGGTCCCCCTAAGGAGCCTCGATGGCGAAAGCCATCTGCAAACTACCGCTAACCAAAGCGGTTGGCTGTTCAGACCCCACCCCGGGACTCCCTGGAAGAGAAGTCTGGCCATGTGGCTCCATGCAGAGACACGAGACCCCAGGGAACAGTTCTCACGCAGGGCTCACTCCGCGTCAGGAGTTGATTCAGTGGCCATGGCAACAGCAGATTTCTCAACCACTGCTTAAATTCCTCTTTGAGGGCCACCCTTCACTGTGACCCAGCAGACGAAGGAGCCCCAGTAGAAGCCAGGGGATGGGTTAGGGAATCTGGATTTGGTTTTCGGTGCTAATCACAGAGACACATACTCTCTGTCTCAGGTACCCCCACCTGTAGCATAGTGGGTTCCATAATGGGCTGCTAGCCACAAGGTCAACAGTTTGAAACCACCAGCATCTCCACAGGAGAAAAACGAGGCTCTCCAATCCTACATAAAAAGTTACCATCTCAGAAGCCAACAGGGGCAGTTCTACCTGTGCGACAGGGTCCCTGTGAGTCCGAGTGGACTCGATGGCAGTGAGGCGTGCGTTAGGAATAACAAGTGGCGATGAGGAAAGCAAGGGGTCCTTCTCCAACTCCTGGTTGAGGCCTCTCTCCCAGTGCTCCCCCCTGTTGGGTACGGTCTTACACCTTTGCAGGGGATTGTAGCTCTCCCAAGATTTTTGTGCCTTATTTGCCTCTCGCCCTATGTGTCCCCTCAGACTCTGGAGGACAAGATTATGTTGAGACTGTGATCCCCAGCAGCCAGCTACCCAGCGCCGCCTTGTTCAGTGAGACTCACAGGCAGTTCTCACGCTACTTCATTGAGTTTGAAGAGCTGCAACTTCTTGGCAAAGGGGCCTTTGGAGCCGTCATCAAGGTGTGGTACAGAGTTGCCCCCAGTTCCTGTGCGAGCTCCTTCTCGCTTCCGTTTCCACAGACGCGTGCACCTTGGGGAACTGGGAGGGACCTTTGGGGTGGGCAAGGAGATTTGAATGCCACCATTGGGAACGAAGATCAGCTTCAGCTTCTGGGAGTAAAAGGCTTTATTTAAAGTTACTTTGGACACGTCTAGGGCATATCGTGCCTCTTCCCTTACTTGATATAGAGCACTTGCATGAAAAATAAAATTAAATATAAAATGATTATAATAGCACTTCGAGTGGAGTCAGGACGTCTCGAAGCATTTTCGTGCACTTTGGTTCAGGAGGAAATGTGGTCTCCTTTGCTCCTCCTGTCTGCTGTCAGAGCAGCCGTGGATAGAAAGGGCTCCAAGGTTAGCCCAGAGATGGGCTCTCCCCGGGAAATGGCCCCAGGTGGTTTTGATGGCTCTTATTTCTGCGCTATTACTGAGCTGGGAATGAGTGATGATGATTAGAGTGGCCTGTTTTCAGGTCTTCCTCTCTCCATCCCTGCCTATTTGGCTGACTTTAAAAATTACCATTATTATCTGCCCCTCACAGAAAGGGGTTCCAACTGCTCTCGTATACGGAAAGTATTTTTACTGAGTGTAGGAGACCCAGATTAATACCTTATTGTTAAATCCATATACAGTACATGACACCTTCACACGTGAAGGTGATACACCTTTAATAGGGTAGGTGTGTGTATAGGGTTCTGAGATGGTGGCTAGGAGGTGCATGCTAGTGTTACGTTAGACACTGAAAAAAATTTTTCTGCAGCAATCAGATCATGAAAAGGAAGTTACAGTATCGTGGGAAAGTTTCCGCTTTTTTTTCAAAGTGTAGATATTACTTTTAGGTGCCAAAATGGGTTTGCTGTGGGCAGACAGATATATATCCCCATCAGGATGATCATAGTTCCCTACCTCACAATGTCATTTTGAGCACATCCTTTAACTTCTGTATACTTCAGATTCCTATAGTCAGACATTAGCACTAAGAAAACAAGACTATTAGCACTGTTCATTCCTTGTACGTACTTGAAGGATGACCCATGAATAGAAACGCATCTATTCACCCCACCCCCCACCCCCGCCCCCCAGTCCCTGCTCATGATGACCCGTGTGCATCCAGTGCGAACTGCACTCCACAGGGTTTTCAGAGGCTGGTTTTCCGGAAGTCGGTCACCAGCCCTTTCTTCTGAGGCACTTTTGGATGACCATGAACCTTTTGGTTAGCAACCACACCACGTGCTTTCTGTTTGTTTGTTTGTTTTTAAATAAATATTTGTTGTGAATTAGGTTGGGGGGCACAGCTAAGTGCTGTAGCTATTTGTTTTTCCACCCCACCCCTGAGACTTCACACAGTAAAATATCTTAGTAATAATTTTCAGCTCCAAGTTTTTTTCACTAGTTTCTCCCTGTGAAAATCCTACTGCCCTTTACACCTCTCCTCTCTGCTTCTAGGTTAAGGCAGGTAGGGCTACGCAGTGACCTGGTATCTTATAGGCAGCTGGATCTCCACATATTTATTTGTGTACCTTGTCATTTTAATGAATGACTTCCCAGTTTCCAGTGTAGCTAGCTCTACACCCCTGTCGGTGACTTGCAGCGTGATAGCAGGGTAATAGTGGACTTTAAGATCAGGTGGTGAAATGCATGAACAGAGAGCACATTCCGAGTTGCAGGTCATGTGCCTGCTGTTCCACAAACACTGTCTTCCCATCTTATGACATTCTCGGGAGATAGACATTACCCTCATTTTCTGGACAAGGGAGCTGAAGCCCCAAAGAGCTACTTAATTTGTGTGAGTTCACCGCACCACGCGATAGAGATGAAACCAACATCCAAGCCTATATATTTGTTCACTTCAAAGACTAGTGGTCTTGCTGATGCTGCCACACAGAACAAGCAATGTGCATCTCACTGAACTTTACAGTACTGCTTTCTCACTCCTGGAGGCCGGTTTTCAATAACCGAATGGCAAGCTGATGAGCTTGGCTTTGCCTTCCATAGTCAGCTAGCTTCTCCTCCGTCCCTCCCCCTGCTTGGAGCAGTTCACTCTGCACACGGGCCACCAAGAGTTGAAAGTGATGGACAGCAACAAACCACACAGTTCAGTGCATACATCAGCCATCTGTCTTCAGGCTCAGGGATAAAAGCAATGAGCAGTATTATTGAGCACCTTGATAAACACTTAACCCACCTGATCTCTCTTAATCCTGACAGTCACACTTTGTGGTAAGGGAAGTGGTATAAGTGCCATTTTTTTAGGTAAGAAAATGGAGTGTCATCGAAATTAAGTCATTTCTCAAATCCATGTTAGCCTTGTGAGTGGAAGAATTAGAGTTTGCATTCACCTGTTAAAATTTTTGGTGTTTCGTTTTAATGATTTTAAGTGCGTGCAAGCAAAGACCAGAAACAGAAAAGCAGAAACTACCTGAAAGACTTTAAAAGTCTCATTGTTCATCAGTATAATTCACTTTAAAACCAGATTGACCTTGAAGTTTAGATCGCAGATACAGGACTGGAAGGTCAGGGCAGAAAATATCGGTACAATTGGCGACTGAAATGGAGAGTGTGTGTTACTAGGGGTCTTGTCAAGTTGACTCCATCTAGACAGGAGTAAGACATTTCCCCTTTTTTTTTTTGAATGGAGACTTTGCCCAATGGAAGTTTCAGACATATGGTTCTCAACTAGCAACTGTTGTTGGCTTTCACCTGGAACTCAGTGGTCTCCTGGGAAGTGGGCATCACGGCGCGGTATAAACGCCTGCCTGCGCATGGCTCACATGGATGATGGTACCCGGTCCCTTCCCCCCCCTCCCCTGCGGCAGGTGCAGAACAAGTTAGACGGTTGCTGCTATGCGGTGAAGCGCATCCCCATCAACCCAGCCAGCAAGCACTTCCGCAGGATCAAGGGCGAGGTGACCCTGCTGTCGCGCCTGCACCATGAGAACATCGTGCGCTACTACAACGCCTGGATCGAGCGGCACGAACGCCCAGCTGGCCCCGGAACACCACCCCCGGACTCGAGACCCCCGGCCCGGAATGGGCGAGGCGCGCCGGGACCACCAGCGGGCGACACCAAGAGTGTGGACAGCGTGGAGGCCGCCGCGCCGCCCCCCATCCTCAGCAGCTCGGTGGAGTGGAGCACGTCCTGCGAGCGCTCGGCCAGCGCCCGCTTCCCGGCCACGGGCACGGGCTCCAGCAGCGACGAGGACGACGACGAGGAAGATGACCGAGATGGCGTCTTCTCGCAGTCCTTCCTGTATGAGCACTGGGGCAGGGCTGTCCCTGGGCTGGCTCTCCTCCCATGTCAGACACCCCCATCTTTAATCCCAGCTGAACCCCCACCAGGGGAGAAGTACTTTATTTAGAAATCCAGGCTGTTAGGTTAAAAATGACAAAGCAACAAACAGGAAATCCACTTTGAGAAAGTGTCCGAGCGTAGTTTGAAGTTGTTTGAATATCATAATCTCACTCAAAAATGCAAGTCCAGGAGAATGGCAAAAGAGAAATCCCTTCCATTATCTGATCTTAATACCCTTAATAGAATTCCTTACACGGCTTTATTTTCAGACAAGAGGCTTAAAACTCCGTGAAGAAATAATTTGAAGGCCTGTTATGAAGAGCCTGCCGCAGTTCCAGTAAAGATTAGCAGAGCAACCCACTGTGATCCTAAACCAAAGCTGTGGGTCTCGGTCCACCTTTGTCACTTACCTTCATGGTTGTGCCTGGCTTAACTTCATTGGATCCAGTTGGATAGAATTGGTCATAGTTCCTAGCCATTCACTTTTTTTTCCCCCTCCTGGTAAAGTAGGTAGATTTTTATTTAAAATGCGAGTTCCCCATCTTGTGTGTTAGGCAGGAAAAAGTCTGCATGGTGTGTGTAGAAGCATGTGGCCGAGTAAAGGTATAGCCTCTCGCCGCTTTGGCCCCTAGTGATGACCAAGCCTGTTGATGCTTTGAACTAGAGCAGAGACTGCTTTCTCCAGCATCACTCTCCTCTCTCTTAAGACCCGCTTCAGACTCGGACAGTGATATCATCTTTGACAATGAAGATGAGAACAGTAAGAGTCGGCATCAGGTAAATACGGAAGGGACACTGTTTTATAAGGTGGGTGTGTAAGAAAACTAACCTCCGATGTTCTCAAACTCAGGTAAAACGTTAGAGCCTTGTGCCCGGCCTGCGCATTTGAAAGCCATCAATTGTAAAACTGGATTGGTCATTCAAAAGATAGGCCATTCATAAAAGGGGGCTTCAAAGAGTCAGTGGGGAAATGCCACAATTTTCTCAAAGTCCATTTTCCACAAAATATTTACTTACAGCAGTGGTTCTCAACCTTCCTAATGCCACGACCCTTTAATACAGTTCCTCATGTTGTGGTGACCCCAACCATTAAATTATTTCCGTTGCTACTTCATCCCTGTCATTTTGCTACTGTTATGAATTGTAATGTAAATATCTGATATGCAGGATGTATTTTCATTGTTACAGATTGAACATCATTAAACATAATTAAGGCATAGTTTATTAATCACAAAACAATATGTGATTATATATTGTGTAAAGTTTATGTGTTTTCTGATGGTCCTGGGTGACCCCTGTGAAAGGGTAGTTTGACCCCCAAAAGGGGTAATGACCCACAGGTTGAGAACCGCTGACTTAGAGGTTTAATTTATCCACATGATGAAATATGCCCGCTTTTAGAGGACCAAACTGAGACAACTGTTTTCCTTTTCTTTTATGACTATTTCTAATGATAACAGATTCCTAGAGGATTGGGGGAGAAGTTTCCACAAGATGGGTGGGGGTGCAGGTTGGATGGAAAAGAATTGACTGGCTAGACAAGTTCACCCAGGCTTTACCTTAAGCATTCCCTCTATCAGTCAATCTTGTAGAACATAATTTGCAAAGTGTGAAACATGGCCCAGTAATGAGTTATGACATCAGTTTAGAGAGTCACACGGCTTTATTTCATGGTTAAGACAATGGAGAGGACTAGAGGACTCCCAAGTGCATCCCACGTGAATGCTCAAAGGGTGCCCTGTTTGTAGACTCCCTTTCTCCCGAGTATGTAGAAGGGTGTGATGTAAACTCGGTTGGATAGTGAGAATCAGGTCAAAAAGGTATGGAAAACACTCCTCGTCGCCCACTTCTGGCCCCACTCAGTGGTGCTTTGAGCCAGTGGCTGAAGCTTCTTAGCTGCCAAGCTGTCAGTTGTGGCTGCAGAAGAATATTCTTCGGGTAGATGGGGGAATGCAGTTAATGTCATGACTTTATTACCAGGACTGAAAAAAAATTCCAAGCCATGCTACGGATACACTCCTAGTAGCTAGAGAAAAGTCCGTGTGTAGACTATGTTAGATAAGCAGGTCAGTGGATTTCAAGGCGGTTTTAAAGCATCGCCTGATACTTCTCACAGTTAAAAATTCGCAAGTGATCAAACCTAACCAGGAATAATAACACAAACCACCTAAACTTCCGGCAAAGCAAAAGTCACCACATATATGTTTGGTTTTAGGATAAAGTTACTGTGAGGGCACCAAACTTGTCATCTCTGAGCCAGGATTTCACTTATTCGGAACGCAGTCTCCTTGAAGCTCAGATGCTTCCAAGGGATGACAGTTTTCTCGATGTTTGTCAGGGTATAGAACTGATTCACGAACAGAACTTTATTGTTTTTAGGACAGAGTTTTGGTGTGTGTTGGGTTGGGGGTTTTCTGTTTTTAAAAATACATTGAGAAGCATTTCCTTAGGCAAAACTCTCAATCAGAAGTAGTCAGATGCTAAATACCGCTGTTTCCTTACTTAGGGGAACAGTACAGAAATACATCTACTAAAATTAAGAAAAGGAATTTTTTGAAAAGGTACTGTACATGAGAAATGGAGTCCTGGTGGCTTAGTGAGTTGCATGTTGGGCTGCTAACCTCAAGGTCAGCAGTTCGAGCCCACCAGTCTTCCACGGGAGAATGATGAGGCTCTCTGTTCCTGTAAAGATTCATAGCCTGTGGAGCTCCCGGGGACAGTTCTCATCTGTCTTGTAGGCTCACTGTGCATCAGAATCAACTCAATGGCAGTGAGCTTGGTGTTGGTTTATTAGAGAGCGAGTTAGCTGTGGGAGACAGGCTAGCTGTGTGGAGACGTCAACTTGAGGATCAGGTGACAGCTGAGTGCTTTCTCCTTCATTAGGATGGCAGCCCTTTGGTAATATGGCCACATCTATGTTCTAGCTGTAGATTTTTCATCTTCTGTGTCCAAAATAAGCCCACCACCAAAGGAAGGCCTCCAGTAAAGCAGAAGCCTTCAAATATGTGCCTGTGCGTACACTCTGCCCATTTTAACTGTACAAGGATCTCTTGACATGGAGATCCCATTTTAACTGTGCAAGAATTAGCTTGACATGGAGTCTTTCAGTAAATCACACGCTTTTCATATCTGCCCTCTCATTTTCCCCAACTGTATAGCCGCGGACCTGTAAACTAGAGGTTTAGGGTGTAGCAACATTGCTTTACAAATGCTATCATCTTCTGAAGGACAGTGGCTGTGTCCTGCTTACTTGACCTTCTCCTAAGGCAGCGGTTCTCAACCTGTGGGTCGCAACCCCTTTGGAGGTCGAACGACCCTTTCACAGGAGTCACCCAATTCATCACAGTAGCAAAATGACAGTGATGAAGTAGCAACGACAATAATTTTATGGTTGGAGGTCACTGCAACATGAGGAACTATATGAAAGGGTCTCGGCTTTGGGAAGGTTGAGAACCACTGTCCTAAAGCCACAGAATTGCTCAGTAGGGAGCGAGAGCACAAATACTTGGTGATGGCGATGATCTTGTTTCTTCCAGCCCCTACGTTGAGTTCTCCTGTGTTCCTCTCGGGTTAGGGTGAAGACTGCAGTGAGAAGAACGGCTGCGAGCAGCACAGCGAGTCCTCAGGGACAACCGAGGCAGTGCACTACCTCTATATCCAGGTGAGGCCGGGGCGCACAGCTTGGTGAGCCAGCCACCCCTCGTAGTTGCTAGTCGTAAGAAGAGGACCTGCTGGCCTGATGAATTGGTCTGAGAGAACAGAAGCACCAAAGGCCCTTTCCCCCCAACCTTGACCTCATGCTTTCCGATCCCACAGCAGGAAGCAGCATGGGGTTACGGTTCAGGGAGGTTGAATCACCTCTGACGCAGCTACTCCATGGGTAACAGAACAAAGCAGTGCTTGGCCTCCACCTGATTCATGAGCCCATGGTTGCAACCACTGTCAGTACATTTCATTGCATGCAGCTTAAGCGACTGAAGTTGGCATCCTGGCCTCACCAGGGACAGCTGTGTGAACTCAAGAAAGCTTCTTGAACCCCTCTCCCCCTGCAAATTCCTCATCTGCAAATTAAGTAATGGCCCTAGCTCGGCCATACTGTGAGGAATAAAGGACGTGTGAAGTGCTTAGACCGGCCCGAGTTGAGTAAATGCTGAAGGCTGCGTGTTTAAAAAGCCCATGTGGTGCAGTTAACTGGGTTGGGACCAGTAAAGCCCGAGACCCCTACATTCTTGTACATGCAGAAGAAGCCCTGGCGTGGCTTTCGCCAGAGTGGCGTGTCCATGACCCTAAGAGAGAAGAGGCACTGGAGGCGGGGGGGCCAGTTTCAATGAGGCGTTATTCCAAGGGGCCTCGACACTGGCCTGCTGACACAGGTGACAGGCAGCAACTGGAGCAGTGGGAGCTGTTCTGTGTCCTCTGTCCGAAGAAGACATTTTTCCTCTGCCCCGAGTTACCAGGGTCTGTGGGTCCTTATTAGTATTTTCAGTTAGCCATCTGCAAGCAGGCAGACCTTTACATAGGAGCCACAGCGCTGGTGGAAGCATTAACCTTCAGACCAGATGTCGTTTTTCCCAAAGAGGCCAAGTGCGTGGTTGCTTTCCTGGGGTTGTCTTTGGTCTGAGATGTTCCCTATCATAAATAGTTTTGAGGTGTCCCTTATACAGGAGGGCTTCACAAAGCTCATGGGAAGACAGAATTCCAAGAGGAATGGAACTTTGCCACGTACTTTTTAAAGCCCCCTTGTAAACGCCCGTCGTCTGTCCGTCAGTCACCCAGCGGTGGCCTGCGGGTTGCTGGGATGCTGGAAGCAGTGCCACTGCGGCCGATGTCAGACACCAGCTAGGTTGCCCACGGTGCACTGATGAGAGGTATAAGAAGGCACTTGTCCTTCGAATAGCTTTTCCTGCGTGTCTGCCGTGTGCGTTCCACTTACAGTGAGGTGGACTGCGGACCAGGGAGGGAACAGGCAGTGAGCGGGATTAGGGCGGAGGAGTCGGGGAAGGCTTGGGAGGCCCTCGCTGAGCCCCGAGGATGAGTCTGGTTTTGCAGATGGTGTCCCACAGACAAGAAAGAGGGCAAGTATAGCTCTCCCTCTCTTTAAAAACTATGAAGGCATTTCTTTATGAGTAATCAACTCTGGCACTGGTTTGAAAGATGTCAACTAATTTCATAAATCAAGTGGTTTGATATTTGAATGATACTGCTTTGTTTTCCTCACACGTTAGTGGACTTGAAAGGGTTCAGACAAAGCCCCCCTGTTTGTAATGTTTTGCTCTAGCCTTGAAGGTCATTTGTCATGAATTTCATGTACAGTTCAGAAGGGCCAATGACATCATTAGATGAATTAGTCCTTGGAAATTTGACTGCGGAAGCAACCTTACAAAATAGAATTTTACCAAATTTTCTTTTTTTATGAACCCCCCCTCCCTATTATTTGTGACAAGGAGCTTAAATAAGTTTTCTTACTAGAAGTAACAGTACTGTAAAAATTAAAAGTGGTCTTACATGGAATGCTGAGATGATGAATACATCCCCCCATTTTTTTTTTTTTTGAATAGTGTTGACTTGCTTTTCTCAATGGAAACATGCCAGAGCTTTCCCTTAAGGGTTTACGGGTTTTTAAATGGGGGATAACATTGGCTGCAGCCGTCCCCTGCTTGGCCTCTGGTCCAGTCAGAACCCTGACGGCCTGTTGCTCTGCGCAGATGGAGTACTGTGAGAAGAGCACGCTCCGGGACACCATCGACCAGGGGCTGTGCCAGGACACCGTCAGACTCTGGAGGCTGTTCCGAGAGATTCTGGATGGATTAGCTTACATCCACGAGAAAGTAAGCGTTTCCTTGTTTTCTGAAAAGTAAGTTGATATGAAATTGATGACTGACCAAGCCATCCAATGTGGGTGTAGAGGAGAAAACAGCGAGGAAGCCTGCATCTCTTGAGCTGATCCGTGTTTGTGGAGAATAGAACAAATTGTCAAAAGATCACAAATAGCGCCAACTACCCAAGTTCAAAGAAAACATTGACGGTTAGGACACGGATTGGCAAGCTGGCTCACCTGTCAAATCCAGCTTGCCCCTGTTTGGGTATGCACGGTATGTATGACCTCTGAGCTTAAGGATGGCTGTACCCTTTGTTGTGTTGGAAAAAGACGCAGATGCAGAAGACTTTTATGCACATGAAAGAAAAATCCAATGTCCACATCCATAAATAAAGTTTTATTGGGACACGGACGATTGTTTACACACTGTTTGTGGCTGTGGTCATACTACAACCGCAGAGTGGAGTAAGTGTGACGGAGCCCATATGGCCTATACACCGAAACCAAGCTACCTTTGCTGGCTCAGGGTGACCCCTGTGGGTTCCTGAGGCTGGAATGTTTACAGGGAGCAGAAAGCCCAGTCTTTTTCTCCCACGGAGCTGCTGGTAAAAAGCCTCCTATTTACTGTCTGACCCTTTAAGAAAAAATTTGCCATCCCCTGGATAAAGAGGATCTATTTGAACAGGTATGGTTCACTTCACTGTTTAGAGCAGTGGTTCTCAACCTTCCTCATGCCACGACTCTTTTCATACAGTTCCTCGTGTGGTGGTGACTCCCCCCCAACCATCAAATTACTTTCATTGCTACTTGATAACTGTAATTTTGCTACGTTCGACCCCTGTGAAAGGGTCATTCGGCCCCCAAAGGGGTCACAATCCACAAGTTGAGAACCGCTGGTTTAGAATAAAATGAGAGCAACATTAATACATGCCAAGTTACCTGCTTCTAACTAAATTAGTGCTGCCCTTGCTGGAGATGAGGAGAGACCACAGAGGTGTCCGATAGGGGTCGGAACAGGAACGTAGTTTGTCACAGGTATAAACTGTCATTTCAAAGCTAGAAACTGTCATTACCATGGGAATGAGTGTCCCTTCCGGATGAAACCTGGAATTGTGATGCATTGCTCCTCCTTGTTCAGGCGGACTCCACCTCACAGTGACCCTGTCTGTTACAGCAGAGAAGAGCACTGCTCGGTCCCGCCCCGCCCTCACAGTGGTGCCCGTCTTGAGCCCATTGTGGCAGCCAATATAAAGAGACCCGTTTTCCCTTTACCGCAGTGTTCTGTAACTTTAGTTTGAGTGTATGTGCTGCCGAAGCGAGCACTTTCTGTAACTTTAAAATGTTTGTGCCATGCCGTATTTATAGTGAGGCTCCAGGACTATAATTTTTACATGTCTAGCTGGAGGAAAGAAAAAAAGATCAACCCACCAGCCAGCCACTCTGTAGGGCGACGATGAGGCTGTCTGCTCCGTCAAGAGAGACCGTCCCGGGAACCCACAGGAGCAGTTCTGCTCTGCCCTGTACAATCACTGTGACCAAGCGAATCAATGGCAGAGGGTCTAGTTGGTTTAATTTCATCGGTGAATCGACGTCTATCAGATATGTTGGAGAAAAGCCGTTTTCCTAGGCCGGGGAAACTGTGGGAATAAAGGGACTATGAAGAACAAAAATGGTATGAATGTGTCCCTGAAGAAAGCCAGAATTGTGTGATGCAGCAGAGAGAAGGGGGTTGTGGTAAACACAGCGGGGAGGCGGGGGGGGGTCCTTGGTGCCACAGGAATCCATTTGGATTTGACCTGATTGGGACCACCACCAGGTAGAAGGTGGAGAGGCAATTGTCTAGTATCTTAAGCTGGGTTCTCTAAAGTACCATCCGCCAGTGAAATTTAATATGTATCTTCATATGTGTGTGTACATACATATACAGAAATAGAAATTTATATCAAGAAAATGGCTCACAGTTGTAGAAGCAGGCAAGTCCAAGTCTGGGCAGGTTCTAAGTCAGATACTAGGTTGGGGGCTTCTGCTGACTCAAGTAGCGGCCAGAGCTAATGAGAGAATTGCCAGGCAGATGACAGGCTGGTGACTACAGAGACAAAAGAATCCAAGGTCAGATTGTAGGTCACTGATGATTCCCAGAATCTGGAGGCAATATGGCAGGCTATTGACTCAAATCCAAATAACCAGACATTGATGAACCACATACAGCATCCAGACTCAGCAACAACAACAAAAAGATCAAACAAGCTTTTCCACAGGGCCCACTTATATTGGAAGCAAGAAACACACACACCACCCCCAACCAGGAAATCTCCTGTCAGTTGGTTGCATCAGAGCTGTGATCGGAGTTAGGGTATTGTGCCCCACCCTGATCTTTGTGCTAGATCACATCACGGGATTACTAGGCCTTAACTTCAAGCCAGAAGAATCCAAGCCCAGCCAAGTTGACGGAAAGTCCAGCTGTCACGGCTGCAGTGAGATGTTGCAGATGTCAGATTGCCTGTACCCTAGAGGTCTTGGGGAAAGGCCTCCACTGTGTAAATATAAAGTATGCTTCGGAAATAGTCACTGGTTTCCTTGCTCTCACCCAACAGGGAATGATTCACCGGGATTTGAAGCCCGTCAACATTTTTTTGGATTCTGATGACCATGTGAAAATAGGTGATTTTGGTTTGGCGACAGATCATCTAGCCTTTGCTGTGAGTGTTTTTTAAATTAGACTGCAGTCGAAAGAGGGCTCATACCTGGAAAATCATGAAAGTGTGAGAGGACAAGATTGTTTGTGTGCTCATGAACTGCTGTGTCATTCTCAGTGAATTAGCAAATCTGAAGGAACAAGCTGCAAATGATCTTTTAGGCTTTAAATTGAGAGAGAGAGAGAGAGAGTGTGTGTGTGTGTGTTTTGAGTGCATTCTTTTTTAAAATAAAATGATTGGATTGTGGTTGATCTTTGGGTCACAGACACGCTATATTTGATGTGGCATTTTGGTGTACCATGCTAGACACTTAAGATTTAGATGCTCTAAACTTGAAGGGGTTTCAGTTGGTTTAGGGAAAAACAAAATGCCAGAAGAATCCGTTGTAGAGGACCTGGTTTGGGAAATAGTTGTCCTTCACAACCTTGTATAATATTTAACATGCACGACTACATAAAGTGAGGTGAGAACATTAGTGAAAGAAGAATTGGAAGATAAGAGAACATTTGCATGTGGTTGTAAGGATCAAAAATGATTATACAAAAAAATTTACATTTCATGTGGGCCTTGAAAAAGACTGGGTGGGAGCTCAGAGCAGGGATTCAAGACAGATGACTCCAGAGAGGAGAGTATCCGGGGGTGTTGAAGCCCAGCATGCTGTTCGCTGGTTGGTGGAGTGAGGATGTGTGTGTCGGGTAGCAGGGAGGGAGGAAGGTAGAAAGAGCGTTCTTGAAGGTGGCAGGCCTTAGGTGCCAGAGGATGAATTTTGCTTAGCATCACTCAGCAACAAAAGGCAGTAGTGAGTACAGTTAAGTTTAAGAGCAAAGGTAAACAGGGTTTGGATTAATGGTGAAAACCACCATAGAGGTGAAATTAGAAGGTGGAGAGAGAGGAGGCAGAAGGGAGGTGGATACAAGAAGGGTGTGTCCCCGACCGGAAGAGCAGCTCATGTTGAAGCAGCCCTATGGCCAAAGAAAGCTAGATGACCAGCTCTTGGTCCCCAAAGTAATGAATTTAGCTAGATCCAGGAGGCTTTAGTAAGCAGAGCTTCTAACCATTCATTCCTGTTGAGCCTCGAGCTGAGAATTTGCATTTCCGCCTCTAAGCCAAACCACAAGCATGTTGCCAGTAAGCCTTTTTTTTTTTTGTGCGTCCTACCAATAAGCCCGTTTTGAATCATAGCTACCCTGCATAAGGTTTCTGAGGCTTTGTCAATCTTTCGGGAGACAGGCAGCCTCACCTTTCTCTCTAAGCAGCTGGTGAGTTTGAACAAAGACCTTACCGTCCGTATCCCAACACTTACCACACCACCACCAGGGCTCCCTATTTCCATCCCACATAGATGGAATAAAAAACTCCACTTTATTTTTTTTTAACTCCACTTTAATAATATCTCCACCTCTGTAGGTTCTGATTCCATACATCTAGAGTGGAAGTGCAAATTCTCATCACGGGTTGATTCTAAAATCCGTGAGAATCGCAGCCCTGCCACTTCTCTCTGGTGTGCCTTGGGCAATTTTAATTCCCTGCTAGTTTCTACCCCTGAGATTGCACACATACAGTAAGACACATGAAGCTATGTGAAAGCTGCTGTTGTTAGTGGTGGTAGGAGTAGTGGAACTGTGGGGTGATGTCATGAAATAGTGGGCTAGAGTAAGGGTTCATCGAGGCTGTTACAAACGCCGGAGGGAGAGGAGGCTCCCTAGGAGGTGCTGGCAGTGGTGGAACAGAATGAGGGACCAGCCTAGAAAAGAATAATAAAAATTGTTCCAAAGAAAGTAACAACAAGGGGAAAAATAGAAAGGACTCTGTTGACATTTTGTTTATTTGTTGTTGTTGTTTCATATCAATAATCTCCTTCGTACATAGATTTTACTTTGGTATTTGAAAATAAATTTGTGTCTGTGAACTTTCAAGTGTTCCTCCACTGAAAACAGTCAGATGGGGAATTATCCTCTCTCGATTTCATCGCATTTGCTGTGAGCCTTAGATAAGTGAGTTAACAAAACAAGCAAAACTTTCAAACTCATACAACAGCACTATTTGTCATTCCTTTATTTCAGGGTCGTGTTTTCACTGAGCCTTCATTTAGAAATGAATAAGCCATTCCTGTGAAATAGCACAGCATGCTCATGTGGCATTTGGTTTATTTGTAGGCTGAGGGCAAACCGGAGGATCCAGCAGGAGAGCGCTTGATTAAATCAGACCCTTCCGGTAAGTCCAGAGCGCTGGCTGGCTGACTCACACATTAAAAACCAGGCCGTAAACTTCTCGACCAGACACCTGCTGTGCATTTGTAAAGATTCTAATCAAAGCAAATTGTAGTTATTTATTAACTTTGCCACACTATTAAAATGGCATCATTCTCCCCACACTCTGTTAATTGTCCTTCAGAACCCTAAGGAACCGAGAGCTGAAGTTGGTAGGATCACTCACTGTCTCCCGGGGGTAGGCAGTCATACTTTGTTTCCCGTAGTGGTAACGTAGGCCCCCCTGTGGCCTGGCCTGGCCAGAATCCTCTTCATCAGGCACTGCCCCCCTTCTGCACCAGGGAAGATTCTCTGGGTGGAACACAATGTGTGACTTACAGCTAATCCTGTTACAAACGGCACACACATCATGTTTTGTGACATGCTCCACTCCTGGGGGTCCGCTAAAAAAATTGAAAAGCCATCTTATCCATAGAGCTTATTATTGGGAAGCTTTCCTTTTTATTCCTCCATGTAGGTCATTTGACTGGAATGGTTGGCACCGCTTTGTACGTGAGCCCCGAGGTCCAAGGAAGCACCAGATCTGCATACAACCAGGTACAGGAGAAGCCTGTAGGGGCTGTGGAGGTCTCAAGGGTGGCTTAGTAATAAGGACCTCACAATCAAGGCCTTTAGGGGTTCATCACTCCCTCACTCCATACATATGTAATTGATGTCACCAAGCAATATAAACAGAAAATGTTGAATTGGCAAATGTTGCCTGTATTTATTTATTTTAATAATTTTATTGGGGACGCATTCAACTCTTGCTGTTGTTGTTTTGGCACTCTTTTTATTTTTGTATATTTATATTTTTATTAATCCTATTGTCTTCCTTTTTCTTTTTTTATTATTATAATGGTTTTCTTGCCATAGCTTACACAATCCCAATACATCCATTCACATACAGTTCTGTTATTCAACCTCATTGCATGGAGTTATCAGTGCTATCAGTTCCTCCATCTCCCTCCTTCCCCTTCTCTCTTTTTTTTCCTTACTGCATAGCATTTTATTTATTTATTTTCTTTCTTTCTTTTTTTTTTTTCTAATCGTTTTATTAGGGGCTCATACAACTCCTATCACAATCCATACATACATCAATTGTATAAAACACATTTGTACGTTCATTAACCTTATCATTCTCAAAACATTTGCTCTCCACTT